AACTTGAAATGTAAGATTATAACCCAAAGATCTCGGTTCCTTTCGATATTCGTAATATCGGACCGTAATTTCCTGAATTATGGCCCCTGATTGTACGAAAAATCGCATTTTTAGCTTGTGGACCCTATAGAGGTCATAATTTTTATCCGATTTAAATAAACGTATTATTATATCACCGTTACACACTAAGGACGACTGAGTTTGAATTTCATGAAAATCGGCCCAAAATTGACAGACAAAATGGCCGCCGTTCATTCTCAAATAGCGTAAAAATATGGTATATCAAGGTATATTATGGCCCCTGATTGTACAAAAAATCGTGTTTTTAGCTTGTGGACCCTATAGAGGTAATAATTTTTATCCGATTTAAAAAACCATATTATTATATCACCGTTTCACCCTAAGGATGAATGAGTTCGAATTTCATGGTAATCGGCCCAAAATTGACAGACAAAATGGCCGCCGTTCGTTCTCAAATAGCGTAAAAATATGGTATATCAAGATTGTGGACCCTATAGAGGTAACAATTTTTATACGCCCACATTTTCATGTGGACGTATTATGCCGTCGCCACATGAAAATGTGGGCGTATAAAAAAACGAAACAAAATAGAATCTGTGTTTTAATCAGATTACCATTCAATCTGCTGCAATGCAATTCTATGAATATCGATAATGTAATGAACAGTGGGGAATATTAAAAAATCTGTTGATGTATATATTTGCAAAAATATAATTTTTGCCAGAATGACGTCATTATCAGTGACCAATTGGTTACATCTAAGGAATATTCACAGAATGTAAAAATATTGCTAGAATTTTTGCTCTTGAAATACGATGGCTTTATATTTCATTAATTAATATCTTTGGCAAGATTAGTAATTTCAAACATATTCACATATATAGTGTGCACTAAATCAACTTAGTCTGTAATTGACATTACATAAAAAGAGCTTTTAAACCAAAACATGTGTCACAATTTACCACCAGAATTACACGTGAGTGGAATTATTCTAATTGCATCATTTGGTTTAAAGTAACCAATCATATCGTTAATTGCACAGGTTCAGGGCCATGAACAGGCTTCCTGTGCATGATAAACCTGGGTGCTATATAAGATATCTATTTGAACCTTTCAAGCCAGACTTGCATTAGATTCCAGAGATCGAGGGTACATCTGAGTTCCTAGACAGCCGAGAGGCTAGATAGGGTGGAGAAGTGGTTTTAGCTATATAGTATTGTAATTTGTGCTATGCTTGTATACCTGTATTCAGTTATATGCTATATAAAATGTAGAAGCGAACTATGCATTATTATTCCTGATAAGACAAATGTCTTAAGAAACTGGAAGAAGTAAATACACAATGTGAAGCAGAAGTAAAGACAGCTAGAGACAAATTTTAGACGATCACAAGGCTACAGAAATATGTAGTAAGAAAAGATGCATGGGTCGTATGTAGGATGTGGCGACCGGTTTGACAATGTACGCTCTCCACGTCAGACAAAAGACCCATGGTGCTACAAGAATGCTGCAATTTTTTTTATTAAAATCAAACAACTATTTATTCCTTTATGGGCATAAAAAGTTGAAAAGTTATTCCCACAAAATTGCTTATTTCCTGGACATGTCAAAAATTTGAAATGATCTATGGATTTTTGTTTGTTTATATATATGACTTATAAATGCCTTTGAAAATAGTTGTGTTTCAGCCTTAAGATCTAAATTGCAGGAAAACGAAATTCGAAAATTGGTTTCAGTCTTGCTCTGCTTATTTACAACAGCAGCTAAATTTTAACCCCTAAAAGTATTCCGAAAAGGTAACCAGCGGCTGCCAGGCAGGATACGCCCACATTTTCGAGAGATGGGTAGAGAACAAGCTAAAAAAAAGTGATTTTTCCTACAATCAAGGGCCATAATTCAGGAAATTACAATTCGATAAGAGCAAATATCGAAAGGAACTTACAAATAAAAATTGTGACCTCTATAGGGTCCACAACCTTGATATACCATATTTTTAGGCTATCTGAGAACGAAGGGCGGCCATTTTGTCTGTCAGTTTTGGGCCGATTTTCACGAAATTCGAGCTCTGCCGTCCTTAGGGTGTAACGGTGATATAATAATACAGTTTTTTTTAATCGGATAAAAATTATGACCTCTATAGAGTCCACAAGCTAAGAACGCGATTTTTCGGACAATTAGGGGCCACAATTGAGGAAGTTACGTTCCGATGGGCGCAAATATCGAAAGGAACCAAGATCTTTGAGTTATAAACATGCATGTCAAGTTTCATCAAAATCTGTTCAAAATTGTGACCTCAATAGGGTCCACAAGATAAAAACATGATTTTTCGTACAATCAGGGGCCATAATCCATGAAGTTTCGATCCAATACATGAATATATCGAAAGCAGCAGAGATCTTTTGGGGATAAACCTATATTTCAAGTTTCGTCAAAATCGGATAAGAATTGTGACCTGTAGTCGTAGAGAGTCCACAAACAATTGTGGACGGACGGACATTCAGACATACGGACGGACAGGGGCGACGACAATATACGTCCACATGAAAATGTGGGCGTATAAAAAAAAATGCTCGTTTCTCTCAATCAGAGCTATAAAGTCCCAGAAAACAAAATTCGGAATCATTTTACCCGGCATATTTATTCGACTTTTCAAAATAGCTTTAATCTTTAAGTCACTCAAAATTATGCAATGAGAATTTTTGTGCGAAATAAGCACGGTGGAAACAGAAAAAAAAACATATCAATCTGAACAAAAACAACATTGTTTCAAACTAGACTCTTAAAAATCTTAAAAACCGAACTTTTTAAATAGCTTTTAAACTATGAACATGTTGACTTTTTAATGTTTTAGAACTATTTGTTTTACATTGTATTTATTTTAATTATGAAGAGCGCCGCGAAGCAGCTGTTAGCTGGCGCACTCAGCGCTATACAAATTGATTATTATTATTATTAATTTTGCAGTGAAATAGGCTTTTATTAAACTTCTTTTTCATATTAAAACAACATATACAAATTGTGAGCACTAGAGGGCCCACAATCTAAAAACGTGATTTTTGGCACAATCAGGGGCCATAATCCACAAAGTTACGGTCCAATACATGCCAGTATATCGAGAGGAAACGAGATCATTGGCATGAAAACAAATATTTCAAGTTTCGTCAAAATCGGATAAAAAATGTGAAATCTAAACTGTCTACAAACAAATATGAAAAGTGATATTTCGTACACTCATGGGTAATAATCTAAAAAGTTATGGTCCGATAAGTGTCATTATCGAAAAGGAACCGAGATCTTTGGGATATAATCATATATTTTATCAAAACCGGATAAAAACGTGATTTTTCGTACAGTTTAACGTCTGTGACACAAACTAGGTCATTTCGGGACTAACACATAGTTCAATTTCATTAGTTAGTACTACAGTAGTGGGTGGAAACCGGAAGACCCGGAGAAATCCCACGAGGTTGGACAGGCAACCCTACTCATTGGATCTAAACAACTCCAAATATAAGGAAACGTTACATTTTCGGCTCATGTTTTTGAACGCTTACATATGAACTAGACTGTTATTAAAAATTTCTGCAATACGCAGAAAGTGCTTACCTTACTCGCACAGTAGAAGTTAAATAAGCTTAATAATAATCCTACTATATTTGCAATAATTATCACAGACAAATATAAAAATAATGCACATCCAAAACAGAGAACACGCAAAGAAAAAAAAATCGTAGTAAGAACATTAACTTTCAGTTTTATAAAAATCGGTTCGGCAGCAGTGGTCCAAACGTCTTTCGTTTCACCCGGAATTCTGTATAGGAATCAACTCGGAATCCGAAAATGCGAATTGTAACGCATTATGATCTAAACTGTCTTATAGATTATAAAATAAACCATAAATCAATTCAACCCGTTGTAAGGTGGACACTACCTGCTTTCTCGTAACGTTGAGTTGTTGGAGCCTGGAGGCGTGGGGTAATCCAACAATAGAAAGACAATACGTCTCGGAAAAATGCCCTACGTGCGATTATCACGGGGCAATTATGTTATTAAAACCAAACTGCATGAACGTGACTACATTATAAGTTAAAAGTTCTGCAATGAAGATCGTTCGATTGTAAGCGATGTAAATTTAGGGAAATGCTTAAGCAGTTTTAGTTAAATTCATTTTACAAACTTCTTATAAGTAAAATAAACGATCAGAACCACTTGTTTAGCCATAATATAATTAAAACCCTTATAAGTCTATACCGTATTTTCAACACTGAGGCAATGCTATTGTGTTACTCGATATTCCCACGGTATATAAACAGGGAATTCCACGATAGAAAACACCGAAATACTGTGTTCCGTCAAACCATCGCGATGCCCGTACTGTAACACTAATTTTTCATTGAAAACAGGCGATAGCAGACAAATTTTTTCCAGATATGTACGATATTTTCAAGTCAATATTTTCGACCAATAATTATATGAGAAAATATCACATGGCGAAATATCGTCATTTTATTGGTGAACTGGTTATTTATCTTTACAACATTTCTAATGCTAAATAATAAAAAAAAAGCGAAGTCATGTAGAGTAGATTGTTTACTATCATAGCAACGGTATTTCACAATCGAGACTAATCCATTTTTATATTTAAATTTTTAAATCTCGGCCATTCGATCGTCTACAGAGGTGATTATAGGCTTGTCATGTGAATCGATGTATAAATAATAGTTAATATAACATCTGAAGTAATAAAAAAGGTCTGCAATAGGAGATTTAGCTCTAGCACAATGCATCTTTAACTTTGATGCAATATTAAATTTACTTTCTTACATGGTTGATTAAAAAAAAATTCAATCTTCGGTGAGTGGTCGATGGGTTTCGTTAGGGTTCGGCTCTTTTGAAAAGATCAGCAAAATTCAATCCTCTATTTTCACATAAATCTAAGAAATTTGGCTGCTTGGGTTTTTGTTTAGACTGTTAGTTACCTTTTTCAACATCTTGAGTAAGAAGAATCCACCAACTCCAGCACCTGCTACGGCAACAACGCCTACTACGGCTCCTATTATTATTCCCATTGACCCACCTCCTTCTTCTATAATATATAAATAGAGAAATCAACTAAAATGGGGTTTAACATCCTACTGTTTTGGCCCGACCGGGATAATGAGGACGGGCATATGCCATACAGTGTGCTTGTTATGAGGGAAACTTTGTCCGGACAGCGGCACTACGGCCTACTCTTAATAAGTATTGGAACTACTGTCACCCAAACGACTATACGTTGTCTCTTGCCAGGCACCTAGTCCTTCAGCCCTGACTAGGGGGAAAAATGCTGGAATATACTGATGAACTTTCTCGACTAACATCCAGATCGAACCCGGGACCTGTAGGTCACTGAGTCATCGCGGCTCCTTGTAAATAGGGAGAAAATGGACGTAGGGTTTCCTCAATTTCATGCAGTAATATATTACAAAATGGGAGAGCAGAAGATTACAGTACCAGCAAGGAAAGATCCTCATAAACGAAGCCATGACAACATAGAGATACAATGAACATAGAGAAACAGTGAACATAGAGAAACAGTGAACATTAGGATACAGTGAACATAGCGATACAGTAAACATAGAGATACAATGAACATAGAGAAACAGTGAACATAGGGATACAGTTAACATATAGAGAGAGAGAGAGAGAAATGGGGTTTAACGTCCACTCGACACAAACTAGGTCATTTCGGGACTAACATATGGTTTAATTTTATTTCAATAATTCGCTTGCGCGTAGGGGTCTTTAGCAGTGGGAGGAAACCGGAGGACCCGGAGAAAACCCACAAGGTTGGACAGGCGACCCTACTAACGTACAACCGGGGATTCGAAACCACACCAGTCGACTCAATGACAGACTTTATGATACAGCGCGCGCACGCTAACCATTCAGCCATCCAACCCCCCTTAACATATAGATGATGTGAACATAGGGATAAAGTAAACCTAGTGGTAAAAATTCGAAATTCGAACTCAGCCGTCCTTAGGGAGTAGCGGTGATATATTAACACGTTTTTTTAAATCGGATAAAAATTATGACCTCTATATAGGGTCCACAAGCCCAAAAATGTGTTTTTGCGTACAATCAGGGGCCATAATTCAGGAAGTTACAGTCCGATCTGCGCGATTATCGAAAGGAACCGAGATCTTTGGGTTATAAACTTACATTTCAAGTTTCAACAAAATCGGATAAAAATTGTGACCTCTATAGGGTCCACAACCTTGATATACCTTAATTTTACGCCATTTGAGAATGAAGGGCGGCCATTTTGTCTGTCAGTTTTGGGCCGATTTTTACGAAATTCGAACTCAGCCGTCCTTAGGGAGTAGCGGTGATATATTAACACAATCAGGGGCCATAATTCAGGAAGTTACTGTCCGATATGCGCGAATATTGAAAGGAACCGAGATCTTTGTGTTATAAACTTACATTTCAAGTTTGAACAAAATCGGATAAAAAATGAGACCTCTGTAGGGTCCACAACCTTTATATACCATAATTTTACGTTATTTGAGAACGACCGCCGTCCATTTTTGGGCCGATTTTCACGAAACTCATACTCGGTCAACCTTAGGGTGTAACGGTGATATAATAGAACGGTTTTTTAAATCGGATAAAAATTATGACTTCTATAGGGTATACAAGGTAAAAACGCGCATATTGGACCGTAACTTCCTGAATTATGGCCCCTGATTGTACAAAATATCGTGTTTTTAGCTTGTGGACCCTATAGAGGTAATAATTTTTATCCGATTTAAAAAACCGTATTATTATATCACCGTTACACCCTAAGAATGAATGAGTTTGAATTTCATGGTAATCGGCCCAAAATTGACAGACAAAATGGCCGCCGTTCGTTCTCAAATAGCGTAAAAATATGGTATATCAAGGTTGTGGACCCTATAGAGGTAACAATTTTTATACGCCCACGTTTTTTATCCGATTTTGTTGAAACTTGAAATGTAAGTTTATAACCCAAAGATCTCAGTTCCTTTCGATATTTGCGCATATCGAATTGTAATTTCCTGAATTATGGCCCTTGATTGCAGGAAAAATCACTTTCTTGTTATCTTGTTCTCTATCCATCTCTCAAAAATGTGGGCGTATCCTGCCTGGCAGCCGCTGGTTATCCGATTTTGTTGAAACTTGAAATGTAAGTTTATAACCTAAAGATCTCGGTTACTTTCGATATTCGCGCATATCAGACCGTAACTTCCTGAATTATGGCCCCTGATTGTACGAAAAGTCGCGTTTTTAGCTTGTGGACCCTATAGAGGTCATAATTTTTATCCGATTTAAAAAACCGTATTATTATATCACCGTTACACCCTAAGGATGAATGACTTCAAATTTCATGAAAATCGGCCCAAAATTGACAGACAAAATGGCCGCCGTTCATTCTCAAATAGCGTAAAAATATGGTATATCAAGGTATATTATGGCCCCTGATTGTACAAAAAATCGTGTTTTTAGCTTGTGGACCCTATAGAGGTAATAATTTTTATCCGATTTAAAAAAACATATTATCATATCACCGTTACACCCTAAGGATGAATGAGTTCGAATTTCATGGTAATCGGCCCAAAATTGACAGACAAAATGGACGCCGTTCGTTCTCAAATAGCGTAAAAATATGGTATATCAAGATTGTGGACCCTATAGAGGTAACAATTTTTATACGCCCACATTTTCATGTGGACGTATTATGCCGTCGCCACATGAAAATGTGGGCGTATAAAAAACGAAACAAAATAGAATCTGTGTTTTAATCAGATTACCATTCAATCTGCTGCAATGCAATTCTATGAATATCGATAATGTAATGAACAGTGGGGAATATTAAAAAATCTGTTGATGTATATATTTGCAAAAATATAATTTTTGCCAGAATGACGTCATTATCAGTGACCAATTGGTTACATCTAAGGAATATTCACAGAATGTAAAAATATTGCTAGAATTTTTGCTCTTGAAATACGATGGCTTTATATTTCATTAATTAATATCTTTGGCAAGATTAGTAATTTCAAACATATTCACATATATAGTGTGCACTAAATCAACTTAGTCTGTAATTGACATTACATAAAAAGAGCTTTTAAACCAAAACATGTGTCACAATTTACCACCAGAATTACACGTGAGTGGAATTATTCTAATTGCATCATTTGGTTTAAAGTAACCAATCATATCGTTAATTGCACAGGTTCAGGGCCATGAACAGGCTTCCTGTGCATTCAGGAAGTTACGTTCGGATATGCATGAATATCGAAAGGAATTTTTCGTGATGCCCAACTCGCACACGATTTGCCACGAACTTGAAGTGTGAAACTCCTTCAACACGTTTTTAACGATACTGCGGGTTGTGCCTTCATTTTTCTCGAAAACGGATATTGAAAATATCGTCGTCATGTTTAAAACTACGCACCACAGACATAGAAGCAGAATCATTTCGTGGGAATGGACGTGTATTCGTCTGCAACCATTTTGTTGAGAAGCGACACCTATGACGCTTTCGTCTTGATCAACCAGTTTCAATAATGAATCAAACCATAGCCATAGTAAAGGGAAATAACTCTTGTGATATATTTCAGGTTGACACACAAAATAAAATAAAAAGATCGTGGAAAAGTGCAATAAAATAATTTAAGTCGGGGGTGGTTTTAGTTAGTCGGTCGCGTTAGGCGAAACAAAGATATTTTTAAGGTCAGCCTAAGTAACGAAGCAATCCTCTAAAATTTCTAATATCAATATATTCATGAAATAAGATATACAGACGCGTTACTATGTAAATTAAAATTAACGCAATACACCCTCTGCAATAAATCACTAATTCATTTTCTGAACGAAGTAAATCTGGAGACATTATTTTAATATAACATTAAGTAAGCCAGAATAAATCCTTTTTGGGTATTCAGAAATAAACCGGCTTCAGTTATACGCAATATTTCCATAACTACACCCTTAATAAATGGAAATAAATGAAGAACTCGGTCGCATACCCTTGGCATTTAATTGCTTTATGAAAGAATAGAGCTTTATAAGACCATAAATGCACCACACATTAAGTCTACATAAGATGGTATCTATAAGCCCTCAATCCAATCCCCTAATTAAGTATACTCCCCACCCCGTCATTAAAAAATGATAACATAGCAAAACGGTGTTTAATGCTGTTCATCTAAATTATCAAATGATATTCGCAGAAGCAATATCTGAGAAGGACGTTGTTTCGCTTGTATAATTTGATTTTCAAATACAAACCATTAATACCTATCTTAGCATGACAATAATCACCCATTTGTGATTATATTGAAATTTGTAAAAGACGCATTCTTTTTGAATATATACTATTCAAAAAAAGTAGGGGATATTTGATTTTGGGGGCATAATACTAAAATATGCAAATGACTACGAAAAAAGTCACTATAGAACCTAACAGAAGAAACATTTCCAGTTACATGTGACGCCCAAACGCACCAATAGCTACCGCATGGAATGCAGGTGATGCTTGTGATCATCATGGGGGTCCAACCCAAGATTTGCATGACTCTGACTTTGAATGTTACAGTCATTGTGGCATTGAATTCCAGGGTGGAAACATCAGTTTAATTGTTTTAGTGACCAGAAAACAAATTTTGATATGCGTCGGCTTACCCAAAATGAAAGGTTACGTGCCCTTGGCATGCTACAGATCGGCACAACACAGGCGGATGTGGCGCGGACGATGAATGTTTCTCAGTCTGTGATAAGCAGGCTATGGTCCAGATACCGTGATACACAATCTGTACAGGACAGACCACGCTCAGGTCGACCAAGGGCGACAACTCAAGCCCAGGATCGATTTATCCGTACCTTGGCCTTGAGAAATCGTGTCATCACAGCAAATCAGATCAGCGCTCGTCTTCAAACAGACACTGGTGTGAGAGTGAGTGATCCCTTGTTTGAGAGATCATCACATTCAGGCAAGACGTCGTTGGTGTAGGGATCGTCAGCACTGGGATAATCAACGCTGGAGCAATGTGATGTTTTCAGATGAGTCAAGGT